AAAAAAAAAAAAAAAAAAAAGAGTTCCCTTCCTCACCTGTTCCACACTGTGGGTGGATGAACAGAAGGAGGACAGGGTATGGAGTTCATCTGGACCTGTGCACCTCGCAACTGAGCCTCAGTCTTCCCACTTGCAAAATGGGACTGTTTGCTGTGGCATCTACCTCTCAGTGACACTTGCAGGATTTAAGAGGGACGGTAATGTTGGTATTATCAGTTCAGACCTCTTGGAAACTCATGACATGCCTGGCGTGGCCTCTGCTCAGGCATGCAGTGATTCATGCAATCTTCATCAGGGTCTTCCAAGCCAGGTACATTTACCATGTCACACTGAAGGACAGTGAGAAAACACTTAAACTCCCCCAAGATCAAAGCTAGAATGAGTGATCTCACTTTGCCCGTAGTCCATGGTAGTGGAGGCCTCCCTCTCTCCCTCGTCCTGTCTCAGGAGGTCATCCCTGAAAAAGATGGGTAGGGAAAGCCAGCCCTTCCTGAGGGCCCCTCTTTCTGGGTAGGTGCTGTGATCTGGAGGTAGAAGAGCCAGATGGATGGGCACAGAACCTCACAGTGCAGCCTGAGCCCCTGCCTCCAGCCCAGGAGACAATGCAGGGGTGTGCATGACCCTGTCCAAGGCTCCCCTACCTGCTTGGTGGCTGGTGGACATTGACCCAGGCTGCCCAACCCCAGCCCTGTCACTGTTCCACCCTGGGCTGGCTCTAGAGAATGGTGCTCAGCTGGTCAGTCTGTCCAGTCACTTTGGGTCCCCAGTTCAGCTCCTGGAGATAAGCCAGGTATACAAACAGCCCTCATTCCTTCCAGGGGCCTGTCTTCCTCGTGTCCTCAGCATCTCTCCATTTCAGGAAAAGTCCCCGCAGAGAAAGCAACGTCTGGCTGAAAGTGTCTGGGAGGCTGAGCCGGCTTCCTGCCAGGCTACCCCCTCCCCGTGGCGGCCCCTCCTGTCCACACGGGTGGAAAGGGATCAAATGCTCCTGCTCAGCCGCTGTCATCCTCTCTCCCACCCTCGCCCTGTGCGGGGGGGGGCTCCCTACAGGAAAAGGGGGCGTGGAGCTGCCGGGGACCACCCCCAGCTTCTGCTTAAAGGAGCGCCATGGTGGGGCGGCGCGCAGGCACCATGAGGATGGCCTGGACGCCGGTGAGAACCGTGATGCTGCCACTGCTGCTGCTGCTGCTGGCTGTGCCCCCTGCGTGGCCCGCGCCCCCCACCTGCTACTCCCGGATGCTGTCCCTGAGCCGGGAGGTCACCAATGACTTCCAGAGACTGCTCGCTGCAGAGCTCCAGGTGAGTGCCCCACGCACCCAGACAGGAGGTGCAAAGGGGACCCAGTTTTCAAAAACTTGCCTTGAGAACCGGAAAAGAAGAAGAAAAAGGCTCTTTTTCTTTTCTAGTACACGTTAATCTCAAGGGTATTATGATCAAAGACATCACAATTTTTGTAAGTTTCTAGCAAATACTATTTCCTTGTATCAGATGATCTGCTATCGTAAAATGTAAAAAAAGGGGAAAAAAACCACAAAAAAAACCCAAACCCAGCTTTTCCTAGAGTCTGTAACTTCAGAATTAAAGAGCCAAAGAATCCTGTCCGGCCTCATCACTCCCTTTGCTAGCCCGGTGATTGGAGTACTTTCTAAGAGGGTGGCTGCCAGAACTGGCCTCCTCCTCCTCACCCTCTGGGGGAGACATATTCCCCAGGCTCTGGGTCTCAGTTTTTGCCTATAAACTGAGTTGACAATAGTGCTCCTCCCCATGGGGTGGCCTGGAAGAGTGGAGGCCTGAGCACTGGAACAGTGCAAAGCAGACGCTGCTGCTCCGGTGAGCGATGTCTGCAGAAGGAAGACTTGGGGCCTCAGAGCGGGGGCTGTAGAGGGGCTCTGGCTGCTCCTCTGGAGAACAAAATGCATTCCAGATCGCTAAAAACTTTAAAAGTGTGTCTTAACCTCTTGCAGCTGCTTGACAAAACATAACGTTTCTCAAATGTTAGGGTTGACAATATCCTAACACCCTCTTTATATGTTCTTCTTAAAAGTTAAGTGGGTTCCACATGGGTTCTTTTTCCTAATTATAGTAGTAATTACTTTGTAGAATGGTTGGAGAAGGTGCAGAGGACAAAGAAGAAAATATGTATTGCTTGTAATTCTACCACCTAGAGGTAACTGTTGCTATAACATTCTGGAAGATAGAATTTCAGCTTTCTGTCTACTCATAGGTGTTCAAATACCTATGTGTGTAAACAAAATTTGAATCAAACAAAACAAGCAGTATTGCAGCTTTTAATGATATCATTAAACAACATTCTTTTTTAATATTTTGTCATACGTAGGTCATAATTATACCCCAATTTGTCACATGTACATGCATAAAAGTATGCATATACATGCACTTTTATATCGCTACATTGTATACGGGGTATTTCTTTATCTATATTGTAGCTTTGGAACTGCTAATAACTAATATATATATAATTACACATGCTATATACTTATTTATATATAATTATATATAACACTAACTGTATACTTATAGAACCATTATATAACTAGTTATAGAACTGTTTTACATATGTGCATATATACTACATATGCTTTTATATTACTATACTATTTATATATTACAATTGTAGAACTTAATGTGGATGCATATATGGAAGAATATATGGTTGTGTATGTGTATAAAACAGTCCCCTAACTCATAGTAAGTAACATAAAGATTGAGCTTTAAAAGTTGAATTTTGTAATAGCAGTTGCCAATTTTTGGCAGATTGTGACAGGGTAGAAGAAGGTACTGTGCATGCTGTGGCTTAAGGAAGACCTCAGATCTCTGGATATATACCCGAAGGTGCATCTAACAAGTGTACATGTGAAATTTACTAGTCTTAACACAATAACTAAGAAAAGGCCATGAAGGCTACGTTGACCAGTTTGAAGAAAGCATTTCAGAGTGTACGTAAACCCAGCACATTGTACCCCATGATTGCATTAATGTACACAGCTATGATTTAATAGGAAAAAAAAAAAAGAAAGAAAGACCTTAGGGATCTGGGCTGGGCTGGTCTGGCTATTGAGAGGGCTGGCAGGGAGCCTGCAGTACCCAGGCATGTCCTGTAGGCGACCCGGCAGCCTGTATCCCTTTCCACAGGAGCCATGTGTGAGACACCTTCCCAGGCTGTATCTGGACATCCACGTAAGAGGGCTCTGCCTGCTGGGGCTCCTGGGGGCCCGGGGAGCGGGGTGGAGGGAACTCCACTCTGAACCTCTGCTGCTGGTTGCAGGGCATGGGGGTGGGAGAAAGCTGGTGAAGCCTAGCTCCTATCCCCTGGCTACTGACTTTCCCACAAGCTCCCTCCTATTGCCCACTCCCAGAACTACTGTGTGCTGGCCAAGCTGCGGGATTTTGTGGCCTCACCCCAGTGCTGGAAAATGGCCCAGGCTGATGCTCTGAAGGAGAAAGTGCGGAAGCTGTACACCATCACGAACGTGTACTGCAGGAGAGTAAGTGAGGCCACTGAGAATTCCTTTCTACTTGCTGTCAGCCGAGATCTTCTGAGCTTTTCAGAGAGGGGAAGGAGAAAAAGGAGCAGGAATGTTGAGGAGGAACTGCCAGTTCACAAAGCCCTTCCCAGCCACAGTCACCTTGTCACATAGTTGGTTGGGGACAAGGCCCCACGCTTCCAGGGGCTGTTCACTGATGCTGGAGCCCTGCCCCAAGGCCACACCCAGCCACACAGACAGACCCCCCTGGAGCCAGAGGGGCAGGTCAGAAGAGATTTCTGGGGGTGGGGGTTATGCTCTGTGACAGGATGCTTCTAGAAGGAGAAGGGGGAAAGACAGAAAATCAGCACCAGTTGAGATGAGGGAAGTAGAGTTAATGTGGCCAGAGGGTGCAGACTTCAGCTCACACAGCACTGAGCCTGAGCCTTGTGTTGTCTCCCTGCCTCTCGGATGGGAAGGCTGTCTTAGTCTGTTTTCTGCTATTGTAACACAATACCATAGACTGGGTAATTTAGTTTAAAAAAGAGGTTAATTTAATTCACAGTTCTGGAGACTGGGAAGTCTAAGCATGGTGCTGGCATCTGGCCAAGGGGCTTGGTGGAGGCAATCACATGGGGAGGGGTAGGAGAGCCAGAGATTGCTTGTTTTTCTATCAAAGCCACCCCTGGGCTCGGCGCCTATAGCTCAACTGGCTAAGGCGCCAGCCACGTACACCTAAGGTGGTGGGTTCGAATCCCCAGCCTGGACCCGCCAAACAACAATGACGGCTGCAACCAAAAAATAGCCTGGCGTTGTGGCGGGCGCCTGTGGTCCCAGCTACTTGGGAGGCGGAGGCAGGAGACTCGCTTGAGCCCAGGAGTTGGAGGTTGCTGTGAGCTGTAATGCCATAGCACTCTACCCAGGGGGACAGCTTGAGGCTCTGTCTCAAAAAAAAAAAAAAAAAAAAAAAAGCCACCCCTGAAATAATGATCCTACTCCAGGGATAGTGACACTAATCCTGTCATAGGAGCAGGGGCCTCATTAATTCATTAAACCATTCATTACGGCAGATCCCACATTACTATACCATGAAGACAGAGGGATTAAGTTTTGGGGGACACACTCAAACCCTATCAGTGCCCTTTTATAGCTCTCACATTTTCTCACTCCTAAACAGGGGACGTAATAGTAGCCATCTTGTGAGACTGTACGGCAGTGATAACGATCACAGCGATGCCTTGTGCCCGGCACTGTACTGCCTTCCTTGATCCAAGAAACCTAACAGGGGTAATTAGAATCCCTAGCACCCTACCTGGCCCAGAATAAGTCCCTGAGCAACTTTAAGGATTAGCTGTGCATTTCTTCCCCATGACCCATCTCTGCTCCCTCCCCCCAGTCTGTGGAGGAGAGATGGGAAGTTGATCACATTATCACGGATCATTGGCAGTGTAGACTCTGGTATGGACTCTGAGGTGCCTGAAGGCAGGACCCGCAGCTCCTCACGGCATTCCCAAAGCCTGGCTGGAGTTGTTGCTCAGCAATTAAGATTCATTCATTCCCTGACTTTCTTGCCCATCCATGTGTGTGTCCATCTGGTCGACTGGTGTATGCATGGACCCAGTAAACAATACTAATTATAAAGCAAGAGACCCTATGGGAACGTGAAGAAAGTGACTCACTCTTCTTGGGAGAGAGAGAGATGGGAGGTTTTCACACAAAGGGGACAAGAAATGGCCTTTGAGCCTAACAGGCCTCCTCTAGTTGTGTCTGTGAGCCATAGCAACCTTCAGGAACTTCCCCGGACATTGCACATCTTTTCCAGGATTTGGTATTCCTGTCAGATGACTGCAGTGCCTTGGAATACCCGATCCCAGTGACCACGATCCTGCCAGATCGTCAGCGCTAAAGCTGCCCAGACCCGAGCCGGGAGAACCGCAGTGGCATCAGCCCAGACAGAGCTGAAGCCACGCCCCCCCACCCTTCTGTGTTGCTGTAGCTCTTGACACTACCTTGTGTCTACCCAGGGTCACAGGCTGGAGCTTCTACCCAGGACCTTCCTTGGAGCTAGAGTCAGAAGCCTGCTTCTCACTCCCTTGAGTTATGTCCTGCCAGGGTGGTTAGATAAACAAATGTGTCAGTTTAGTCACTAAAAAGAAAAGGGCTAACCAGCTTCTCTTTTATAAACAACTAGGTTGAGAACAAACAAAATAGTGTGTTTCTATGACTAGTTTAATCGAGTAATGGTACATTTTTCTTTCTTGACAGGAACCTGCTTGCCCTTTACTAAGCTTCTTTTATACCTTCTCCCAAGGCAAACTTTCCTGTCTTTCATTTAAAAAACGTTACTGCTTTTAGGACATAATTTGCCGACAGGAACCGCTCTTTCTTTGAAAGGTGATAAAATCAAATACAGAATATCTTCATGGTGGGAAGCACATGTCCTGCTGTGTCTGTCCAAGGTGGATGCCAGGGGATCATCTCCACACTCCCTGGATTGCTTCTGCTCTGAGCATGACGCATCTTTCTCCTTTCTGTCAAACTCAGGTGTCTCTCAGTCTGCTTTATCCACCTGCGTGAATATCTGCTCTTCAAGTGTTGGGAGGTGCTCTGATTTTGATGGGGACGGATTGTGCTTTTGGGGAATAGATGTTGGGAATTGATGGCATCATATCCACAGACATGGCAGCGCCCTGCACTTATCACAAGTATCGGTTCAGAGTCAAACCTGAAGATGGGCGCGCAGGAGGCTGAGGTCACATAATTTATGTGACTTGCCTGAGGCCTCCAGGGATGAGTGTGGAAGCCTAAACCTGTGTGACTCCAAAGCCCAATAAAATTTCAGTTAAGTAACTACATGATGGAAAAATATCTCAAATGTTGATTTTGCTGCACTCTATATGTTCTGTTGGGGTCTTTTTGTTTCTTTTCTTCCTTTCCGTATATATAGAGCAGGTTTTTCCCCCTTAATCTTAGATGCCCCCAACTTCTCAGATCATGCACTCAAATGATTTATTGAGTTTTTATTTTCTGTTTAGAAGCACAGGGCCACACAATCACTGTTTTAGTTTCCTAGGACCACCCTAACAAGGTCCCACAAACTGGGTAGCTTGAAAGAAGAGGAATATATTGTCTCATGGTGCTGGAGGCTGGTGTCAGTGGGGCCATGCTCCCTCTGAGGGGTTAGGGCAGGATTCTTCTTTATTTCTTTCTGGCTTTTTTTTTTTTTTGAGACAGAGCCTCAAGCTGAGCCCCTGGGTAGAGTGCCATGGCTTCACTGCTCACAGCAACCTCCAACTCCTGGGCTCAAGCGAGTCTCCTGCCTCAGCCTCCTAAGTAGCTGGGACCACAGGTGCCTGCCACAACGCCAGGCTATTTTTTGGTTGCAGCCGTCATTGTTGTTTGGCGGCCTGGGTTGGATTCGAACCCGCCACCTTAGGTGTATGTGGCTGGCGCCTTAGCCGCTTGAGCCACAGGCACCGAGCCTTCTTTCTGGCTTTTGCTGGTTGGCAGCAATCCTTGGCTTTCCTTAGCTTTTAGACATATCACTAAATTCACAGATATTGTTCTGCCTCCATCAACATGTAGTGTTTTCCATGCATCTGTGTCTCTGTGTCGAAAATTCTCTCTTCTCATAAGGACACTAAGTACAAGATTGGGCCCCTCCAACCTCACAGATGTCGGCCTGATTTGGTAACTAATATGCGCAAAAATCCTATCACCAAATAAGATCATATTCACAAGTACAAAGGGTGAAGACTCAACATGTCTTTTTCAGAGACACAATTAAGTCCACAACAATCACTTTTTAAAGAAATAAACCCTTCTCACCATCCATTTGACTCCACATTCCCATTACTAGGTATCTATCCAGAAGAACACAACACATTTGCACTAGAATGTATATCACAGCTCAATTCACAGTGGCCAAGATGTAGAATCAACCCATGACTGGATTAATAAACTGTGGTATACGTATACCATGGAATATGATTCAGACTTTTGTATTACCCTGGATAGAGTTGGAGAACATTCTCCTTAGTAAAGTGCCACAAGAATGGAATGAAAGCAATAAATAAACAACAATATGGCCAAAGGAGAGAAAAACACAATTAAATTCAAGTGGGGGGAGGGGGATTGCTGTGCTCTTACCTAATGGGCACAACGTGAGGGTGTACAGCACACTCCCTGGGTGGAGGACTCAACTGCAACGTGAACTTTACCCAGCAAACAACATAACCTAATCATCCCCGTACCCTCATTTTAATCTACAATTTTAAAAAAAGAAAGAACCCCTTCTCAAAGGAAGATTATGCCACAGTCTTTCTTTTACCACCACAGCCATCTACTACATCCTGGCAGTTAGTAAATATGGAGGCCTGGTGGCATACGCTCGCCCACTGACCTTCACAATGACATTGCAGGATGAGTTAACCCTGATTTATTAGGCTATTAAGTATAAGTATCGGAAATGTCCGATTTCCTAACATACTAGGTTTATAGTTGATATCTCTGACATTTCACTTTGATACTTCTTGTTTATTTTCATTGTGATGGTATTCTTTCAAATGCACATTTTGACTTTCAAAATCTTTTAGAATAATTTTTGTTAAACCATGGATAAGTAAAATATTCGTGTCGTCCTTGAACAAGTTCCATCGTGGAACCGATGCAGTGCAGACGGCCTGAAATATCAATGAAGAGATCGGGAAGGATGTGGCTGATGTGCACACGGTACATCAATGGCTTGAGAGGTTCTTTGTGGTAATTTTCATCTTGAACATGAGCAATGGGATGAAAATAGCCAAATCTGAACATCAGAAGACGTTCCAGTCTACCTGATGCATGATCTCTACAGTTCTGAGAAGCAAAACTATAAACATAAAGCAATAAGGGCTTTTGTCTGGGGGGTGGTCAGAGCTGTGTGTGTTCGTAAAAATGACAGTGGATAACTGAGTGTTTTGCTGATTAATGAATGAGACTGGGTGTGTGTATATTTGTGTTTTTGTGTGTATGTGTGTGCATGTAGGAAATGCTAGTCATATCTGAGCAATGATGAAAAGGTTTCTACTACTGATCTTTATAACTATGAAGGTTTCTACACTTGACCTGAGCTCAAAAAAAGAAAATGAGCAATAGGGCTACCTAGGATCAAGGTGGATAATAATGAGATGAAAGCTGTCATGGGAGTTAATCCATCTCAACTTACACACGAATTGGCCCCAAGGTTTGACACTACTATGGCAACAATATTGGTCTGTTTGAAACAAATTGGCAAGGTAAAGAAGCTGGATAGATGGGTTCACAATGAATTAAATGAGTGTCACGAAGGAAATCATCTCAAAGCTTGTCTTTCTTAGTGGTCATAACATTTGTCATTTCTGCACCATATTGTTACATGGGATGAAAAATGGAGACCACACCTATGGTTCATCTTACAAGGGTACACGTGAATCTTTCTAAATGTAGAATACAAATGTCTTAACGCAATAACTAATAAAATGCCGTGAAGGGTATGTTAACCAGTTTGGTGAAAATATTTCTAATGGTATATAAAACCAGCACACTGTACCCCATGACTGCATTAATATACATAGCTATGATTTAATAAAAAAAAGAAAAAGAAAAATGAATCCTTTTTGATAATCACAAGCTTTCTGCACAATGAAGATAATGATGAGGTACCTAGACACAGCCCCAAAACCATATACTCATTAAAAAAAAAAAAAAAAAAGCTAATGGTATAATGGAGTCTGGCAGTCTGGCACTGGTATTGACATTATTCACTACAGTTCCGTAAAACATGATCAGTCAATTACAGTGAATGTCTACTGCAACTAGTTGGATGACATGATGATGTTTTAAGCATCCAGATTAGTCAATAGAGACAGCCCAGTCCTCTTGCAAAACAACATTGTCACAAAAATGACACTGTTCAAACTACAGAAGCTGGACCCAGAAAACTCTCTGTCTCCACTGAACTCCATGTGTATTCACCAGACCTTGCACCAACTGACTACCACTTATTCAAGGCTTTGGGCCACTTCCTGCAAGGAAAAATATTCAATTCTCAACAAGCTGTGGAAAATGTCTCTTGTGATTTAATCACCACTTGTTTTCCAGGCTTCTTCACTGCTGGTATATACAAGCTACTGTTCAGGTGGCAAGGCTATGTGATTAATTCACTGCCTCTTGTTTGAGATGTAGTAACCTCAACTTTTGACTTTACAGATTTAATGATCTAATGCAATGGAGGAAACACACTCAGGTGCAAAGGTTAAGTGATTTCCCCAGACAGATATTAATCCTTCTCTCTCAAAAGAAACTCTCCTCTGTATGACCCAAGTCATGTAACTAGTGACGGACTCTGCAAAGGGAGGTGGCAAAGGGGTTCCAGACAGATGGACAGGAGCCAGAGTCAGTCACAGCTGTGCTAACCCTTTGCCATTTCTGGGCAGCAGAAGCAAACCCATGAGGATGAGGACTCATTTAAGCACTGCAGACATTTGTTTGCTGTTCATTTCTTCAATATTTATGAACTTATTATGCATTTGACAAATACAAAGATGAAAAGAGAATTTCTCTCCTTAGGTTACCAAGGGAGACATTTGAAAAATTCAAGAGAGCAGAGGTGAGACAATAATTCTGAGATGGGGCAGAAAGATATCTTAGAGGATTTGGATTTTTTAAAATAAAAATAATTGTATTTACTTAGAAGCATTCAGAATGCCAAGAAAACAGCTACAACTTTTTTTTTTTTGTAATTACAGAGTGGTATTCAGTTAACAGAACAACAATTTTTTCATATAAGCTGCATCAGAGACAACTGAAGATGAAAAACTACCATCCCCATATATAACTAATTTGTGCTGTGCACCAACAAGAACCTGCTTTAAATTTCCATGCCAA